AGATCTTGAATTTATTCAACTTAGACAATTATTGAAAACCTGAAAGCACCAGAAGCCGTTTGGCTCTATATAGAACTCCTCAGTAGACGTGCGAATCCACTACTCCTCATGCGCGAATCGAACTGTTCTCGTGGAAGACTGATGGTTATTGGTTCGATTTACTTATACAAGGTCGTAGATGTGCATAGCCGAAGAGTCTCAAACCAGGATAAAACGGCCGTTCAGTGCTTCTAGGTTTAAAATAGTTGTTCAACTTAGATCGGTTGAGGCTTTCAATGCGATTATTTCTTCTTTAATCATTGTCTGTGCCTCTTTTATTACTGACACAGTTAATTTTACTATTTCTACTATTCTGGCATTTCTGTTGTTGATTTCATCTCGGTGTGCTGATGTGGTATTTTCACCTAAACTGATATATATATATATGACTGAGTCCTTGATATTTTTTAGCTGACTAAAGTGTGATGATCACTTGAATCAATGGGATATTCGTATTAGATTTCAAGTTTAGTAATGATTATATTGTATGGACGAGAGGAAATAGGGATTGATTGTTTTCTTAGATAAACTTGTGGATACTGTGACAGATATTTTATGTGTCCTATACATATATTTCATTAACCCTTGTGTTTAGTTGATTGTCGGCTACTGAATAAAACACATACTAGTCAAACGAGTCACATGTTCTTGATTTGAATTGTGTTGAAGTGTCGTAGAATAGTGCTAGTTGGGTATCTAGTATAGAGCAAGTGAATAGTATACGAAGATAAGTCGTTCATTGTGCGTCTTAACCAATCTACTGTCCCATTAGTGTGAAGAAGTACCAGAGTTATTTCAGATTATTAATTATATCACACATAAATTCCAATATGTAGCTCGAATTGGTTGTCTGCTGTTTAAATCGTCAAAATTACTAAATTTTCTTAAACTATTCAAGTGTTTTAAAGAAAATTAACTGAATTTTTAATGTTTTAATCAACAAATTATTGAAGTCATGAGTCAATTGTAGATAGACCACCATAGAAAACCTAGAAGCACTGAACGACCGTTTCGTCCTACTAAGGGACTCCTTAGCAGTGGTTGGGGTCCGCGTGACTATCGCAACCAATGGTTGGAGACTATTAGTGACATGGCTCAGAATCGATCACAATAGCGTCGGTGTATACACTTTCTGTCTTCCCTTAAACTAAGAGATTAAAATCGCTTCATATCTTCCTTTCTACGAACTAATTCTTTCTTCCTGTACTATATCCTTATTGCAATCTTTCTTTTATATATTACCACCTCTGAATTAACTACTTTTATGAATCCGGTGTCCATCTTCTTGTGTTAATGAGGTATGGCAATTTGGACCGATGCATATATATGACTGGTTCTACGTTGTAGCTGACTGACTGACTAACCCATGATCTCGCTTCGCGAGATTCGAACCCAGGACTCATGAATTCAACTATTAAAATTACTACAATATCCACGAAACCCCTCTCTGATTACAACTAATTCTTACTTCACGATCGTTTCATTTATTCTTGAGCTTATCGAGAAAAAAAAAGAATGATTCCACTCTATTGTTATGTAAAATGACTAACAAACTCAAGTGGGAAACATTTCAGTGACTCTATCCAACAAATATTGAAATGAATGAATTTTCTTCCCTGAGTTTCCATTCTTTTCGAGAAATTTATTATAATTGTATAGACCTCTAATTAGGAAATATGGTTTCTATTCAATTTTCACATGGCACTTCAACATTACAAGAAAGTGTTCTAATGAAGTTGGTACATTTTTTCTGGTCAGCGTTTTTTTTAGCGAGTTAGTTTTCTACGGGATAGGGACGCTAACCCCATGCCCAACCCTCCTCCTTTATCCGGGCTTGGGACCGGCAGTAGCCCCCGGAGGGACTCCAGGCGGAGTTAAGTTGATACATAAGGTAGATATAAGCTGCGCTGTTGATTTTACTCTGTGTGTGTGTTTTCAATTTTTGAGTTACCTTATTAATTATCTAATTTAAAAAAAACCCTGATGAGTCCAAAAATTACTCATCGTGAAAGACTTTAAAGACCCAGAAAATGCCTGAAAACGTTTTATCCAATCAGAATTGAAGAGAAGCTCTTTAGAAAAATGAAAGATTTCGATCGTTACTACATTTAGTACGTCTCTAGAAGTTTCTGGGGAGTTAGAATTATACAAAACTCCATGAATACTCTCGATTTCCTCTACGTAGCTAACTTCAGGATAAAACTACTATTATACATTGCAATTTTTCTCAATTATTCAAGTTAAAGTGTTGGTATAGTTTAGAGTTGTAGGAAACGGTTATAAAGAGCAGTAATAAGCAATCCAGTAACAGATTTATCCAAAAACATTTGTCCAAGTAGATTCGACAAATCTATTTATTTGAAGGCTTCTCATCATTTCCAAACGGTCTAAATTTACGATAGAAATATTATTATAAAGAAAAATTTTATACTATAATCAATGAAATTTAGTTCGAAACGACCTAAAAAATACAAGGAGGGGAAACAATATACTTAACATAATAGTTAAGGTTGATTAATATTTCATAGACTAAAAATGATTGCATAAAGAATGGAGACGAGCGGTTGAAGTTATTAATAATAATTTCAATGGTTGAGATCATGAGTCAATTGAAGCTAGACAACCGTGGAAAACTTGGAAGCACTGAGCGTCCGTTTCGTCTTATTTTGAGAATCCTCGGCGGTGTGCATCCACGACCTTGTCTCGCTAGATTCGGACCCAGGACCTATCATTCTCACTCGCGAGCACTTAACTTCTACACCATTGAAGTGGCTGGCATCCAATATGGTGTTAATGTCTAACTTCAACTAATCCACGAAATTGAGCGACACATCCACCATTGTCATCAGTGAGTTGATGTCTCACAACAGACCCGGTTGACTCATGATCTCAACCATTGAAATTACTATAATATCCACAAAAACCCTTCTGTTATAAATAATAATAAAGAGAAAATAAATAAAGACAAATTATTAACAAATTAGAGTGATAATCAAGACATCTATTTAATATAACATTAAAATTAACTTCTAGAGTAGAATATTACTGGGACTATTTTTCTAACTTTAACTTATCAACCAAAATGTAAAGATCATGTGACCATGGCAACAAGAAGTATACTTCCTTTTTGTATATAAATGTCAAATCGAAAACTTGTCATGGTAATAATAGGGTTTAGGAAACAAAGTAAAAGTGGTTTATATTGTATGTTAATTATTTTGAATGGTCTTGAGACATCTACATTGTGTCCATTATCCATTAAATGTCTAGTGATTACACTCATGAATACTTTACTATTTTTCAGATACTGTTTATGCTGAATACGTTCCGAAAACCTTATAGATTCTCTTCTTTCAGTTTTTCCTATGTACTCACTTTCACAAATACATGTTAATTCGTAAATACATCAGTTTTCTTGTATTTGTCAATCATTGGAACTTGGTCAATTTTCCCTATTAAGTTTTTTTAAAAGTATAAAACTAAATTATATTAGATGAGCATGGATAACTCTTCAAATGACTTGAAATCTTATTCAGTCAATCAGAAAATAGTAAGTATCAATGAATAATAACTGATAAAGTTAGTAACAGAATTTAGGCTATGGAATATAGAACTTATTCTAATGATTTGAGAGTAGAATGTGAGGTTTGAAATGTAGAGATGGATGATGGCTAGCAGGTATATCCAGCTGATGAGTCCCAAATCGGACGAAACTTACTTCCTGGATTTCACTTATAGCCACTATCCATCTTTGCTTATAATGCTTGTGACTTAAGGCAATATCGAGACAATCAACACAGTATGCACATATGCCAACAAGAGGCCGATCATTGTAATTCCTAAACATCAATCAGAAGATTCATACATACAATATGAAAATAGATAAACTGTAGAGTTTTATACTTTAGGATTAGGTTTATTATTTGGATATGGAATTCAGAATTTGGGGTTAGAATAAGCATATTCCGTTTGAAATTTGCCGTTGGAACTATAGTTTCCAGTACTGCTAAAGTAAGTGGTCAAATGATTACTTCAAATTTGTTAACAATGCTGAGATCTTACTAGAAATTCAATTTTTTTTCTTCATGAGCTTTGTCTTCAGCTAATTAATTACTATCGTTTTTAGTTTCGCTAAAATGTGTGTATATTTGGAGGTCATGTTTTCGTTACTAATACCATTTCGTTTTGTTTCTGTTTGCTCTGATTCGATTTTTGAAGTTTTCTGTCTTTTTTTTGTCTTGTGTTAGCGATCAAGTTTTGTGTGCTAGTTGGTGTTATTGATTTACGCAATAGGAATCCATAGTATTACAGAAACCTAATCTTCTTAAGGCTTGTAATGAACTTGAAATATTAAGATACAATATAGACCAAACTGACGGTAAAATGCTATCTCAAACCCTAAATTCTAACCATAGATCTTAAGTTTTGAACTTTACATCACAAGACTAACTACTAACTCTAGATCCCGATACAAACTCTGATTTTAAATTATAAACTCTACATCTTGATTCCAAACTATAATATGAGCTCTGAAGCCGAATTCTTAAAGTATTTAATGATAATATTCATGATACAATTAACAAACAATAATAACACATTAGGAAGATTTGTTTTCACATCAGTAGACAATGTTCTATTTAGATCTAAGTCCCGTGACCTCGAGGCTGTATTGTATTTAAGCCCGGATTCACTGTTTTCTGTATTCAATTCTGAAAAAGAAAGTATTGACTATTTCACTACCCGACCATGTTAATTAAGATAAACCATAGGGATATATTTTAAATTATCTCTTTATCTAACTTGTATATCAACATACAGTACTCGATTATTTATATATATGCGTTTAAAGGTGTTAAAGTTTTATGTTTGCTCTCTCTTTGCTTGTACTCCTGTATAATCTCTATGTAAGTTTCATAAATTAATTCTCTACTGTTTTTTTCGGGTTTCCTCTTCTCTGACAGACGTTGGTATCCCAATAGCACTGGAGGTAAACATCAAGTAAGCTAATATTTATCAATTTATTATGTATTTCGTCATCGTCTTTAGATGATGTTTTACATTAACTACTTATGAGTAGGTAAATACTAGTCTATTGAAATGTTTAGAATGATGATGTGTATTATTGACGTCACGAACCGAACCGAAGTTATATATTTGTTGCAAACTAGGATAGTTGTTTCGTTATCTTATGGCATTGCTGAAGAGTGAACATCCATGACTTCATCGGGGATCGAATGCAGAATCCTAGGTCTTGAAGTGAGGACTTGACTACTAGACAATTGAATTTGAGTGTTGCACTTCGATCGATTCCAGATATTGTACCACCATCTTTCATTGTCTTCAGTAGGTAACTACCTCACATCCGACACAGTCTAATTCTACTGGTCATAAATATTTAATAGAACCTCGGTAATGAAATATATAAATTAGTCACATATACTAACATAATGATTATTATTTAATAATAACTACGTTACAAGATAGTTCCTCAATATTGCTTCAATTTTTGTCAGATGCTTACATAATTTATTCAGGAGAACTGTCAGGTGATGTTGCAATATAACCATACAAATTAAGTGATATGTTTCAATTTTCTGCTCGAATAAATTAGTTTCTAAATAAAATAAAAACTAATGTTGAGCATGGGCTATTTGGTTATTCGAATCTGTAACAACAACAATCCCCTTCCGTAAAACAAGTCAATGGTTATGCTACCCCACCCCACCCTAAGCGTATATATACTATTGGGCATTCATGATATATTGTAAACTCAATATACGATCAGTACTCTGTTATGTCTTGAAGCCCTGCTGACCAAAATTACGTGTCAAATAACTAATCAGGATCCTAATTCAAATTTGGTCGATTTCACGTCTGCTATTTATTCTCGAGCTTGGTGTTTCTGGCTTTGATAATTACACATCCAAGCAGCACTATTGACCTCGATTCGAGAACCAAATTCTTGTTGGTTTACTATTCGCTACCTCCTCTCTACACCCTGCTTCGAGTTAAAAAAGAAGCAACCAGTCTCTGCTATATTTATATTTCTAAAAGACGTGATTTATATAAAGACATATCATACCCCTACATCGCCAAATATGGTTGTGAATTGTGGAGACTGTGAGTAATAAACTGGGAACAGATTAAGAATGGTAAGTGGTACAACAATAGTTAGTCGATCAAACAAAAGCTTATGATGAAAGCAATACTTAGACATAGTAATCTACCTACTTAGTAATTATGCAACAAAATGATCAATAATGAGAATTAGAAAAACTAGTTTCAACTCGGATACTATTTGTTTTGTCATTAAAAAAATGTGTAAATACGATGTTGTGTTGTTGTTAAGTTTATTACTGTCGATCAACTTTATTGGATTAATTTTAATTTGGTTATTTATTCTCTGAAGAAGTGACTTACACTTAGTCACGAAACGTCAGAAAATCTAGTTTTTCTACTCATTGGGTTATTACAAATATATTATTTATTCATTCTACATTGTTTGAATCCACGGAATAAAAATATTCATTTACTTTTTTTAAAAAAATAATTTGATGCATCGATACTTTTCAGGGTTCCACAAAATCTACTCGTACTGATAGTGTTGCCATAGTTAATGAAACTGTTTCACCAAAAGTCACAACAGCATTAGTACCAGGAATAGTCGATGCCTCAATTCCTATGGATACTCAAATAACAACTCCATTATCATCACCAACACATCCAATTATCTCGCATCAATTATTCACTACAGGGGGTGAATCGAATAATCCGTCTAATTCACCAAAATCAAATATCTCTCCTGAATTAAGTACATCATCATCAACATTTCATACAGTTGGTGCCTCTAGTACAACTCCATCTCAGTCATCTCCTCTATTATCAGCTTTATTATTACCTGGTTTAAATCAAGAAACTTTTCAGAGTCGTAATTTAGCTTTGAATCAAGCTAATTTTATGAAAATAGAAGAATCTGAAGGAGGAATGATCATTCCACCTGCTGGCAATTCAACAATAATGATATCAACTGACAATAGTTCTACAAATAATAATAATATTAATAATAATAATAATAATAATAATAATAATAATAATAATAATAATAATAATGCAATTACTTCATATTCATCATCAATAACGTCATCATCCTCATTGTATACAAATATTATGTCTTGTACAACAAGTCTACTTTCAAACGATGTTTTCACAACCGACTACAACAATACTTCTATCATCACTGATTCTACTACTGATGATAATGATAATAATAATAATGATATGATGAATGCGATTCTCAAAGATTCACTTCCAACTGTTGCTATCACTTCTTATCCAACTGGCGTTGATGTTGTTCGAGTTGATGGTAGTAGTAGTGGTGGTACGGAAGATGGGCAGCTTGACAAAATGTCGGCTATTAACAACAACATCCACAGCAATAATAATGTAGATTCGTTGAAGTCAGATATTGAAATGGTGAGGTGAGTTTCTCCGTTTCCTATGACTACTTACATCAGTAGTATTCAAATATTAGTGTTATTATGATTATTACTATTGTTTTAGAGAGTTTGCTAAGATTGTTGAACTTTCACAGTTTACATTACAAGTCGATCTTAATTAGAGAGCTATTGAAAACTAAGAAACAATGGACAATTGTCCCATCCTACTTGATGATGCCTTGGTAGTGCGCATTCATTACTCTCGTTTGGGATCGAACCTCTAAACCTTTAGGTCTTATGGCAAACACATGAATTTCGACTAATCTCTAGGTTCGTCATCCATTGGTCAACTATCCCTGTAGGATCATTGAGGCGAGTCACTGAGGAGCCAAATACTAAGACGAAGCAGCCGTTCACTTTTCCTTAGTTTTAAATCATTTCCTTACTAATGATCAACTCGTAATGCAAGCTATAATATCATTATTATCACTATTGATAGTAGTAATAACCTCATTAATGGGAGTTTATACTGAGTGGAAAAAAAGTGAGTGATGATATGCGCAATCATACAATCAATAAGAAACATACTTTACTTCTAAATTCTCTACAGTTTTAATATAATAAGAGATAATATATTCAGAAATGGATTAATTTCATATAGAGATTATCATACGACTCATATCTACAGTAAGCTAATCTAATCGTCAAATGATAGTTTATGTTGTCTACTGATCTTGTCAGTTCATTATTAGAAAAGAATGACAGTTCAACTATACACATTATTGACTTTTTCTTGTTGAGACTTCAAAACAATCCTAATGAATAATATTCATCACCATTTTGTTTGTTAGGACGAGAAAAAGAGATTATGTGTATGTGTGTGTGCGTGTGTGTGTGGAGAACTTCTTAGGAAGGAAGGAAGGAAATTCCCATAAATCAGTATCCCAATGAAAATGGCTTATTTAAGTATCGGTTTTTTTAACTTGTCGAAAGAAATAATTTTCATTGTTTTCCCCATAAATAGCATATCTAATGGGAACATTTCACTTGTAAAGTTGTACTATTAAAGCTAATAAACGATACTGTGTACCCAAGTGATAGTTTACTCACGAGACCGAGTCATTGATGTAAGGCCCTAATTCAACTGATATCAAAATGACAACTTAACTGTCGTATAGAGTAGTTTTTCTTTAGACACTGAACTTTATATTAAACAGATAATAAACACTTCTTTCATTTCAATTATTAATTCATTTAAATGTTCAGTTATTTGTTTAGCATTAGGGGTAAACAGTTTCTTATTTATATTTGTAGTGCTTCTGAATCAGAGATCATCTCTAGTGGTAGTATAATTAACTCGGAACAAATCACTGAACAAAGTCGAATAACAGAATTACCAGAGAAATCTTCCACGTCAACATCATTATTACCAATGTCGACACTGAATTCAGAAGATTCAAGTTATACTACTACTATTAATAACAGTAATAATAATGATAATGGATCGGTGAATGATAATATAATTAAAACATCTGTAGATACAATTCCCATTGATATTAATAATACAAACAAAACCGCAATTGCACTAATAAACAATACTAATGAAGTGATTACAGTAATGACAACGGTGGCTACCACTGCTACTATTACTACTACTACCACTCTAAGCTGTGATCCAGATGAGGATGATGGTGAGGTGGGGAATAATGATGATTGTGGTGACGAGACTGTTACTACTACTACTCGTAGTAGTAGTAGTAGTAATAATAATAATAAAAACAATACAATAACGAATTCAAGTTCACGAAAATGGCCATCTGTTCGGCTTGTACCTAATTTATTACGTCATCCTACAAAATATACAACAATCTAATTTTCAGTTTCACTATGAATAGAGAGGAAGAGAGAGAGAGAGGAATTGACTACATCAGATATGTTACACCTTTAGAGTTGATATTGACATTGATCCCGATTTCTCCACCATATTCATTATTGAATCAATCTTCCGGATCGAGCAATCGAAGAAAAAAGAGTAAATTATTGTTCAATCATGTACGTAATGATAGACTACTATTGGTATCTTCAACTTCGAGTGATAATTGTCTTTTTTTGTCTTCTTTCAGAAATAAATAGTAATATTGTACATAGATTATGATGACTGTATGCTACTGTTCACGTTCTTCTCTTTTGAAAGTAAATTAACTGCCTTCCTTTGCCGTCGTCATCTTATATTGTGTTTATTCGACAATATTTGTGATGTAATATTATTATTATTATAGTGTTGATAGTAATAGTTATGTTGCATGGATGTATCTATACTTCTATATACTACTAATGATGCTATCTAGGTACATTTCAAATGAACGATCCTCCTAAGTTGCTGATAAAATTTGTTATTACTACTAATAAAAATGATAGTAGTAAAATTAGTATGAGTTATAATATCAGTGGTATTGGATCCCCCTGTCTATGCTCTTGAATTGTATTTATATTAATGATTAGGAAACTCTTAAATACAATGTACACATTCTTCCAAATACACACACACACATTACTCCAAGTAGATAACCAACTTTTATTTTCACCCCCTGTGGATAATAATAACTTGTATACATTTATGAGGAAATTCTTTGCAGTAATTATGATGGATTTGTACTATGCTCTTTCTCCCCCCCTCTCTCCCTCTCTCTAATACATACATACACAGACACATTTTAAAATATCTTCGAATTGTACGTGGTAATTAATGAACAGGTTTTCATTTTCAATGTCACAATGTGAATTTCTCTTTTGAAATTTCATGTAAATATTGGTTATTTCTTGCCAAAGTCTTGACATTTCTAATATCTCTTGTAGTTGTGTAACAAGTATACAAATTTTCAACTTTATAATGACAAGAAATACCTTTCTCTTCATAAATTACAATCATACTATCTGATTTATGCTTTTCTTCTCGTTTGGAAATTATCCTGCCTCATTATTGTGTACAACAAACTAACGGAGTAAACAATCAGTTTATCTTCTCTTTCTAAAAACGTCAACTGTAATTCTTGTTTTTCATAATAATTCCGCCTATAATTTCCAATGTATGGATGTATGTGTGAATGTAAGTAAGTAAGTAAGTGTAATGGCTTTTCACCCCTCCCCCTTCCGACCCCAAAAGAACCATAAGGTGCATATCACCAATTTTTCTACATCATCCTCTAAAGCATTTGTATTTTTGTCATGAAATAATAATAATAATAATAATGATACCATAGCTTCATGTGCCTACACATATATTCTCGTCTTGCTTTCAAGATTTCATTCACAGTATCGAAACTTGCTTTTTCTTCTCGCTCTCTCTCTCTCCCTCATTTTCCTTGCAATATACTACTTATTAACTAGATTTTTAATAGTATCCATGTATGTTGTTTATTGTCTTTTCAGTTTTAAAAAAAGATTTTCCTCTCTTCTGTATCAAGATCTTATACGTATATAAACATAATGATTTGATTTATGGTTCATTGAAGTTGTTTTTTTTTTTATAATGTCAAACTTCATTACACCCTGCTGCTACCTTATTTTCTATTTAAACAATGTATATTTGCATTATATATGTGTATGTGGTTTCAAAACCCTTATCTCTTCTTTTCTACTGTTTAGGCGAATTAAGAAAGATATCTAACACAATTACAAAAGTACATTTTCTTACAAACATACATATTAGTTGATACATCAATCACATATAGACGACTATACATACATACATATATACGTTTGTATCTGGTTGTTATTTTGTTTCACAAAGGAAATATAAACAAACCAATATGAGTGTAATCTTGAATCGACATGATATAACCAAGGACATTTTTATGAATATTAATAAACAGATAAATCGGTTAATGAGTAGTATGTGTTAACTATCCCGGTTTTCCTTTATGAAAAAGAGAAACTGGTTCAGTTGATCATTTTGAACAATTCATTTTCTAATCAATTTACACGAAAGGTACAAATGGTTATTGACAAAAAAACAACAGCAACAAAGGATCAATTCGATGTTATTTTATGCATCCAATAATATTTCATTTTACACTTATTATATAATCCCAACTATATACCCTAGTCATCGGAACTTTGTCTATCCGTGTAAATGTATTATAAGACAAGACGATATCAACTGTCCACAGTAGGAATATAACAGTTTGTTTTGATAACTTCTTTATTCATATTGTTACTGTTTTTTTTTAAAATCTCTGTTCGATGTGGTAAGAGGGTAAAATAATTATTTTTAGATGGTAACGTTCTACCTACCTCTTTTTTTTCTGTCATCATCCCCACCACAAACACTCCCCATTTTCATTGGTGTACATTTATATCACTTTTTAGGTTGTTTTAATCTTTTGTTTGCCCTCCCACCCCCACTTCAATGGATCATCTTTGAATCATATATATCGGTTCACTACACATTGATGAAAATGAATTAGAGCATAGTGACTATGACGAGGATACTTATAACAATTCTTATGGTGTGATAATCGTCAAGTCAATATTATGCTTTCACATGCATATACATATGGAGATAGTGGCCAATCCATCAACTTACTGCAATATAACCACTTTTAATGAAATACGACAATAGGAACAATCTTAAATGAACAGAAAATAGATAATAGTTAACAAATGTACACAAATAAAAGTTCTAACATTATAATAACCTGTCTTCTACATGTTCCAGGTTATTTGTTTACATATATCTGTCGGTATGGAAAAAAGAGGTTTTGATACACACATTCACGATCCCAATCAAACTCTCTTTTGCTTATCCCAGTGCATTTGTCGTTCTTTTCTTTTTTTTTAAAAAAAAAAATTGGTTGAAACAGTTTTTTTGGTAATTATACTGTTATTATAACTCACTCTCTTTCTCTCAATTAACTCCTTACTTGTCCTACTCAGTTAGTCAGTCAATCAGAGTTTCTTTTTCTCTAATACGATTTGTTTGTTTATCAGTTTATTTTCGTTTTTTTTTTAAATAATAAAGTAAAGAAAAGGGGGTTCTATTCGTTTTTATTTGCTTTTGGTCGGTTTCTTTTTCTCTTGGAACTTCATTGTCATCATCATCATCATCATCATTATCATTATCATCACTATCACAAAGAATAACTAAAGATTCACGATTTTGCTGTGTTTGTGTTATTCTATTCAAGCGTTGTTATTATTATCATTCAAATGTTTAGTTGTTATCATGTTAAATAAAATTATCCTGCCGTTAGTTATTGTTTAGTGACCAAATGGTTGTCTTTTTATATAGATTTGTTTGTTTATGTTCAGTGAAACAATAGTTGTAGATTAGTCACATGTGCCCGAAGTTTGGTGATGATGACATCATTTATAGAAAAGATGGATTGTAGTGAGCGGTGGAATCCAGAATGTAGGTTTCACCCTTCTTGAGACTTGTTAGCTGCAAATGTATTTCCTCTGTACAGGATGCATATTTACCAACCAAGATTGATTACAGTTCAGTATATTAACAACGGGATGATTCATAAACCCTTAAGAATTAAATTAATATCATCATTTGTAATTCAAATGATTGAAATTAAATTTAGCCAGATGACCATTAAAAACCAGGAAGTATTGAACAGCCGTTTAGTTCCTAGTATGGACCTCCGCGTCAGTAAACATCTGCGAACCTACTAGGGGTTAGAACTATAATCCTCAGACCTGTTTGTGATCCCCTAACGTCCAAGCCACTAAGTTGAGATCTAGTGGTTTCATTTCTTACCTCAGTCAGTTCCTAATATTGTTGTACTGTTATCTTTTCCTCATTAGTAATGTCATTCTAATGTCCGATATGACTGCACTCAACTAGTTACACAGTTCCTCATCATAACTTCTTATTTAGTTTAATAAGAGCATGAAATCAACTATCAGAACACTAGGAATAAGAACATTAAAGTTGATTAATATATATCGTTAAGTAAAAAACCATCAAGCATTTCGGAAGCGTAACTGTCGTCATTGGATAATAGTACTTATTAGTCTTCATTTATTGGTAAGAGTTATGTCGAACAATCTCAAAGGGGCTGTTGGTGTTTTTGAGTTTTAATAGTTTACAACCTACATCATACATTAATACTGTTTTGAAAGTGTTGTTTTCTATGAGCTAAGTGCTTTAGTAATAAAACCTTTATTGTTTTCTCAGACAGTACCATCCGCAACACAAATAATAGAGTAGTGAGCTGTTGGGATCTTTTTGGAAATAGAAATAATCGCTCATCCTGTCCACAATGAATTTGATTGGTTGTAATTAGTGTTTATGCTTTCTATTGTTTATCCCTGATCTGATCTTTCACCTTGTATTTATTTGTCCTTCTTATTGGTCGACTAGAGTATTTCGGTTTCAATAGGCTTGTTGGATTACTGAGTGGTGTGCGTACCAAGCCCCTACAAATTGTCTACTTTCCTTTTAGTCATGATTGTTCACTATGTCATCATGAACCTAGTCTGATCAGTGTCTATAATTGTGTCTAATGGTCTGATGTACTTAGAGGTATGTTGTGGCGATTGATAACTATCTCATAAACGAAGACAGGAATTACCTTATCGAAAGAAATGTGTTTTTTTGTAGCTACTACAACTCATTTCGTATATCATATTTGACTTACTTCATTTGTCTTAGCGAACCTTGGTTTGGATAATATGAATTGCAGAGATTGTGGTATGATCGGTAATAGAAAGTGACTGAATTCGAAATTAAAATTTTTGGCTGTTGATTTACATAGCATGATTCTCCATAATGCGGATCTCGTTTCATACTATAACATGATCTTCCATTGGACTAATCAGTATAAATAACTCGATCGATCGTTCTATTCTAATTTTAAGTTGGTG